TGGAAGACATCATAGTAATCATAGTTATACTCGGTAGGACAATGATTGAGACGCTAGCATAGAATGGAGACCATCAAAAGAAAACTCTGAAAGCACTGACGTTTTAGCAAAAATCATCAGAAAAAAAAAGTTTAACGGTCTTTGGAAATCTAGCTAACAAAAATAGCCCGTCCTCACCATAGATGTTCTTTCCCTCGATACCTGTAAGAAAGTAAAACATATCAATTATAAAGCTAGTTAAACCTTCGAGCAGTGGGGAGAAAAGTTAAAGCTTTTTTGAATATAGCACCGTTTAAAACCTTCCTCAATTCGAACTGTAACAACTGCATGCAATACTTTCTTATTTTTTTCCCAAACCAAATAGGAGAATAATCGTTCTAAGAAGGGTTTTTTAAAATCATAATTTTAAACCTCCCCAGGTTACCTTGTATGACAGCGGTCCCCAACGTCTCGGGTGACTCGTATTCTCCAAAGTGGCGTGCTGTGCTACCTTTACTTGCCATCTTATTTAACTCTGATAATTTGGCGTTCTCCCCGATACCGACGGGAAAGATGTTAACTTGCATACCCTGTATCTCCTCTACTAAGGGCGGTGGTCTTTCGGTGTCAGCCATAACCTTGCGTAACGAGTAATTAAGAAAGAGCACGACCACCTAATGTAAACATAAAATTAAAAAAAGGTGATATTTATCCCTTTGGTTCTCAAAACCAAATTTACAAGTTTTATCAAATATGAGCCCAAACTTACCAATCTTGAAACTACACCAGCCTTCTTATGAAAGAGATACTTGAATTTTTTTCAGTGAAAAACAAACACTTTCAACGACAATGATTGGATTCGACAGTGAATATTGCTGATGTGCTTGTAAGTATCTTAACTACTGGATCTATTGCATAAGTTATTGATGGTTTTGTTTATTTCGCCGTTTAATTAATCTGTTCACACAACTAATAACTGTAGCTGTTATGTACATGTAACGCAAAAATTTCAGCATGCTCATTGGCTGAGAAGGCGTCAATTAACCCAAACTGTGCAGAGAGTTGAAACTGAATGCAAAAAGTGAAATGGATTGCAGAAAGTTGAAATTAAATCGATTGTCAAGAAAGTCGCGAAAGCACAGCAGAACAAAATGGCGGACAGGTTATTGGAAAGTAACCACGTTTTAGTTCAGAGTTTACAGGAGAATACTCACAACTAAGATACCTCAAAAAGCACAAACATCCGGCTAAAAGTCTGGAAGTTTTGGGACTTAAAAGACAAATTTCTCAAAAGAGACGTACCAGAGGTCCTGAACAAAATTTCCGAGGAGTTTTACGCAATAGTTCTCAAGAAAGACGGTAAGATTACGAGCCAATAGCAATCTTGTAAAGGTTATTGCTATTTACTGAAACCTAAGGAAAATAGTGGGACATGTTTTTCTCTTGCTGATATTTGACAGAGAAAGAGAATGAAAGCTTGATTATTCGGCGTAACAGCGAGTTTAAAAGCTTGAAGCGAGAGGGGAAAGCCTGAGTTCTTCAGCAAGAGGGCAAATGCAAGAGGCCGGCCCATGAGCCATGACACTAACTAAAACATGATTTGTATTTATGATTTAAACATAAATCAACTGTAGCGTGTGGTCGTCAAATTAAATCAACATTGAATATGAATTGGTAGGAATAACTTACCAAGGTCTGATAACCAGCCCATGACTGCAAAATGAGCCCATGGAAACAAGTTAAGAGGCAAAACTTGACAGCGCTCCGGAAAACGGTTGCGCGCACGTATACCTCACCTTTTTGGCCTCCTTCCCAAGTGTTTGGTCCATGAAAACACTTTGGGTGGCCACAAGATCTTCAACGAGTGAACTGGCAGAGCTTGGCAGCTCTAACGCGTCAATCCTCACTCGAAGTGCAGCCTCAGTAGTGCACCTCTCTTTAAAGTTGATGTTACCGATTCTTTCGTGGTCTTTATGTAAAACAACACAGTATTTGGCAGAGTGGCAGCCATATTCACGAACAATGTAGTTTATCGTCCCTTTAACCAGATTAAATTCTTCTTCTGAGGTATCTTTGCCCAGCGTCAAAACAAAACATATTTTAGTTTCTGAAAAATGATCAAGGAAAGCGGATTAAACCACTGATCGATAAAGGAAATATGCAACAACTGATACCATGCACCACAACAACTCTCCAGTAGCTGCTTGTATCTAATCTCAAGACTTAGCAATCTCAACCATTCTTAAGACTATTATGATCAGGCGGGAACAAATACCACGCCTGTAAACGCTCCTTGAACGATGTAGCCTGCAAAACAGGCTTAGTTTTTTTGCAAGCACGAGGCAAGCATGGTGCGCGTTTCACGTGCCAGGGAAGAAAAATGCGTGACCCGCGCTTCGCGCATAGCCTTACTAAGGATTTCTGCATTTTTTCAATTGAGAGGACTCAGTTTGTTAGAGTTAGAAATAAACTACAGAAAAGCCATCACCTTCTGCGCCCCACCCCTCACCCCCTCCAGGCCCAAACCTTTGGAATACCTGAGAGCTTACTAAAAACGCGTTACCATCTACTGTACCATGTCAACTACTTTAACGAATGCTAACAAAACGATATTACAAACCTCTTTTCCTACTCAAGGCCCGTTTTACCAAATGCACGACGAAGAAAATGGCAAAGAGAAAGGGAAAAAAGAAGATGTCAAACACCGTCCAGAGGTTGAGAAAAAAGTATCCCCAGCGTTTAGGTGTCCGCCATGATTCTTTTCTTACGTGAAAAAAGGAGCGGTACCATCTGGAGTTAAGCAAGTTATACACCACTGGGTGAAAGATGAACTGCGAAAAAATTCGTGGATAAATTGTTTTACACAATAAGTTGAATTTGAATTGGTTCATGCATATTACTTATCAGAGGAGAATCTCAGAGGGGACGTCAGCATGAACAAAGTTTGGCTTCATTAAATTCAAAACAATTCTAGCGACATATCAGTGACACACCCGACCACGCATCATGTGCCACCATTTTGTTCTTACCACATTTTTACGTCATCTGTGATCTACAACAGAAGAGAACTGCTCAAGCAAGGGTGTGAAAGATTTTTTAGAAGAAAAATTAAGACAATTTAAGGTAGAAAATAATTTCTGGCTGGATTGGCGATGGCGTCGAGTTGTGGGTGTGTTCAGTGTCTTTAAATCATTCAGTTTGGCCTCTCATCATTCAGTAGATTCACTAGAATATAGTTTCTTTCACTGGAAATTGATTAATTGCCTCTTTGAACTTAAAGTAGAGAGACATAAAAATAACGTCCTGTACATTTGATTGGCACCAAGTATATCGTAATATTGTGTGCATAAATCTTAAAAGTATCTTTTCTCCTTTGTAATATCACACCGGCGAGGAAGCTTTCACTGGTGGTGTTTGGTGGGAGCATTATTCACTTAATGTAAAGTCCCTCGGGAAACAGTTAGTTTTGAAGTCTCGGGAAACATCAGGACTCGAGGGAAAACAAAACTAACTAGTTTCCCGAGGGACCATATATTAAGTGCTTTGTTACATGTTTATACTTTCCTTTAAACAATCATGTTGCAAAAACATGCTGTTGTATTCGGCGCGCGAGCAACAACTGCGCAATTGTATCCCGGTCGGGATACATTTGAATTTAATCAAGGGCACGTGACCAAGAATCAACCAATCACAGTGCTCGAATATAGAATCGATCCTCGCGGTTATGAACACCACTGAACTAGTAGTTGAAATAAAGACTGAAAAAAAAATTCAGGCCCGTACGGGATTTGAACCCATGACCTCTGCGATACTGGTGCAGCGCTCTACCTAACAAGCCAACTGAGAGCTGGTTATTATGTTGGATCCAAATAAACCTTCGAAGTGGTGAATAATGGCTGTAAACATACAAAGATCATATGTGTGCGCTGCGGTTGAAGAAACGAATATAGAATCGATCCTCATGCTCGTTTTTTTGACTGAAAGTCTAGGCATATAATAATGTTAAGTGTCTTTCTTCTTTCCTTACTTACACTGCATGTAAAGGTAAGAGCACCTATGTGATCAGATGGGCGACAGCATTCCCACTAAAATCGACTTTAGGGCTGAAGGATATCAGAAAGTGTTCATTAGAAACCTTTTTTATCACTTATGTAGTACCTTCTTCTGCTTTGTGTCAATTGCCTTGTCCACCACATCATCAAAACAACTTTGAAATGTATTTCTGGTATCGTTGTCGGCTTTAAGAGGATCTATCAAGGCTGCTGCGAACTCGCCTATAGATTTTTCTAGCTGTTCTATATCGTTTTTCTCCGGGTTCGCACCATGTACTAAATCTCGCAGTGCTTTGCTTACCTAAGTTTAAAAAGAAATGAAGTTATCTTCTTTATCAAATGGCTTGTAAAAATCAATGATATTGTTTCTGATCTCTTGTTAGCCTCCAATTGGTGCACATGGTAGGAGAGTTTTTTAAATTTTCTGTCGTAAATTAGCACACAGAGGCCTCGATGACCAGTAAGAAATAAAAAACAAGATATAACTGCAAGCCAGTGATCCTTTAAGGGTGATAAAGATACAAGGACACTCTCGGACAGTGAAGAAGTTACGACTGGTTATAGTTTTGACGCTAATCAGTTGAGAGAGTGGTATGCGTATGACGAGCTAATCATATGGAGTGGTGAAACAAAACCACAGTGAATAATGATTACATTTTTCACCTAGTCTGGCGAAACAGCCTAAAGTAAAGTATATCGGTAAAATTGGTAAATATAAAATTACAAGACTAACCTGAAGAGATTTGAGTAAGGAATTAGTTTTACACCTTGCCAGGGTTTTTGGAGTCAACGTTTGATTAATCGCATCGAAATCACCCTTACGCAGAGCATCATCCAGATCCTTCTCTGTTTCTATAAAACAATCAGACACACCCAAGAATGCCGATTCACAAGTATGGACATTTTTCAATTAAACAACCACCGAAAAAGAAGTAAGTTTGAATTCCACCACCCTCTCAATGTGGCCCTCGTTTCTCATGTGATGAACAGTCTTCGGGGAAGGAAAAGACTTTGAATAGACGAAATGAATGCACGTTGACTTTGTTACACAATTACACTATTGTTTTAAGAGTCTGTTTATTTTCGTCTTGTGTTTATGTCTTTCTTGATGCCCTCTTCCACTTACTTTCACGTTGCAGTTGTTGAGTAGAAGCATCAATACCCCCATGCTCGTCCTCTGGTTCTACAGATAGATGATAGAAAGGAAATTTATAACAAATTTTGCTATGTGTTTTTTCAGACAAAGATACATCATAAGTGATGTCAAAATGTGGTAGAACGAAAAAAAGGCAACACATGAGGTAAAGACGCATGAGTATGTCGCTGATGTTTATTTTTTCGTTTTTTAACCAAATTTAGACGCCATTGTTTATCTATAAGTAGGAATACGCTTAGTCGTTCACACATTTTGATTAGTTTTCTTATCATCTATCAGAGAACAGACACAGACGCTGTCCACATCGCTACTAATAAGCTTATTCTGAAAAAGAATTGCAACAGTTGTCAAACTGTGCACTATATTTGCCGAAGTGGAGGCAAAACAAGTTATTTGAGATAAACCATGCGAGATCGTCGGCAACAGCCACTAACAGCCGCCGTGTTAATTGAGTTCATCACATAATTCTGTGCAGTTGTTGCTTGCAGAAATGAGCTTTTCCTCTACGGAAATAAAAATGAGAATGAAATCATTGGTCACCGTACTCCTTGACGAAGAGATGGCAAATTACTTTCCCGGTGAGCTTTGACTCAAACAAAGAATCTAATTCAACCAGTTGGAAACGCAAGGCATAGAAAACGAGTATTGTGAAGACATGATATGATATAATTCATTTTTTTTTTCCAGTCACAAAAAAAAACGGTGTGCAAGGCTTTTTCTAGTCCTTAGTCCAACACATTGACAATAAGAAGTCAAAATGCGTGCATTGACCACAAAAACCAAGCCCAGTGCAGATCCGCTGAAAATGGCGTTAACTTAAGTTTTATAAGGGAGTCAATTGCATACCGAGTAAACTTCTGGAGCCTTTTTTTTTTCTTGTGGTGATTATCCTCCTCACCAACCCAACCCAATCGTTTAGTTAATATCTGTGGCATTCAAGACAAACCAAACTGACTGTATCCACAAAATTCTTTAACAGGTAGATCAATAATGAATCAAGGCACGCTATTATGAATCCCTATAGGACTCTCTGTGATCATACATACCAAAACCAGCTGGAATTTCCACCTCGACCTGATCCTCATCAACCGCAACCGCGGTGGGCACAGGCTCCTCGTCAATTGCTACCAGTACTTCTTTAGAAGTTATTGACAGCTCTACTTCCTCTAGTGCATTAGATCTAAAGCAAAATTTACCCCGTGGAATCAGTAATCAGGTATTCTAGTTACCAATGGCGTAAAGCTTGGTTTTCATTAGCGAAGCAAGCACAAGCGTGAGCACAAACGCACGCATAAGTTAAATTTACAAAGTGAAAACGAACGTCGACAAGCACAAGCACTAGTTCAAGAAAAGGGAAAAATTCTGATTCTTGCGCCTATGCAAGCGATTGTCTTAATGTGTGCACCGAGGCCGTTTTCACGGTGAAATAAGAGCAGTTATGCTTCATTTGCGCTTGCGCTTATGCTCGCATCGCAAGTGAAAACCAGGCTTTACAGAACAACAACAAGGGGAATGGCGAGGTGACCGCTTGATATAGGTTCCACGGATAGGGTTTATTATAAAGATCGATAATCAACGCCACTTTATGCCATAATTGACCACTTAATACAC